AGAGACTCATTGATTGGCTGCCTCCTGCACGCCCCCTACTGGGGATCAAGCCCGCAACCCGGGCATGTGCCCCTGACAGGAATCGAACCTGGGACCCTTCAGTCCGCAGGCTGACACTCTATCCACTGAGCCAAACCAGCCAGGGCCAAGCGGGGTTTTTTTTAATACAGGTTTGCCCTGACACCAAATGGCTGCCACTTGAAACACAGTGGTCGGAATGGCTCTTCATCATTTTCCTGTCTTCTTTCTCGCTGTCGGCTCTCACTGCTTGCAGGTCCTCACATGCCTGGCTGTGACCTCACTTTATCTTCTAATCCGGGGCTTTTTCTTACCATTTGTTTATTGAGGAAACCAGATCATTTGTTTTGTAGAATTGTTCACATTCTGGATTTTGCAGATTGTACCCCTATGGTGTCGTTTAACATGATGCTGTATTTCTTTGAACAGATAGTTTAGGCTTAGAAGCTTGCTCAGATTCAGGCTTCTTGCAAGAATACCTAATAGGTGGTGCTGCAGGCAGTGCTGTATGCCTCCCACCGACCACAGCAGCGGGCATGCAGTGGCTGGTTCTTGCTCTTTTGTGATGTTTAAGATTCATCAGCAGTTCTGATGTTGCCAACCTGGTCCATCCATTATCAAGTTTCCCATCAGCCTTTTGAGCAATCAGGCTTTAGAACTATTGTCTATCATTTGCCTAGAGCCATTTTTTGGTTGGTGGTTCAAAGTGAGGACATTCAAGTCTCTCATCGTTTATGCATTTATTCACATCAGCAGTATGATTTCTCTGAGGAGGATCTTTTATAGGAAAGGAAAATTAAATGCTTGATTATTTCCCTAATGTATCTGTTTTCAGAATAAGGGTTAGTAGGCTAGCCTCCAAAAGTGATCTCTTTTAAAAGCATCTTTATAAACTCATGGATTTAAAAAAAATATTTGACGTGTTTTTATTTATTGCAGTTATTATCATTTGGGCACTCAAACTGTGCCATCTTTCTCTAGGAGGAGCCCTGATTTGAGGCTTCTAATCTTCATGGGAGAGATGACCAATAGGTTCATCTCGAGCCTGCTCTCTCCCAGTAACTGCCCCGGGAGGTCTGAAAGCTGGGCTGAGGCTACGTGTGGGCTCAGCGAGAAAGACCGCTGGAATCATGTAGCCAGATCTGCTGCCAGGGAATGTAGTGATTGTTGGGTTGTAACAATGGGAGTGAAGGGCGCACACCTTGTATTTTTATTTCCATGCTATGGGCTGGCCAAACTTGTCAGTCTAAAATATAAATGACTGAGTGAGCCTGAGGGGCTCTTCTGAGAGTAAAAAGCTTGCATTTTTAACTGCTTGGAGTCTGTTGATTTGTTTGCTTTCTGATGTTTAGAGGAGTTTAGATGATGAAAGATACCAAGTAGATGAATTCTGGCTGGGGGGGGGCGGGCACGCAGGAGGGAGCCAATCAATGATTCTCTTTATCACTGATGTTTCTATCTCTCTCTCCCTTTTCACTCCTCTCTGAAATCAATAAAAATATATTATGATGAACCTGAGGTAGAAAAAAGGTGTGGCAGTGGGAAAAAAGCAGGATGAGGAATCCCATGTCCCTTGTTCAGAACAGGGCCAGAGTAAAATCTGCAGATTTACAGGGCCAGAGTAAAATCTGAGAGCCTGCGTGTTAGCCAGGTGGATGGTGAAGGAACAGTTGGTGGTGGACATTAAACTCCATGATTAGGAACTTTAATTCAATCTCAAAGGTAATTAAGCCTCAATGCTGGGCCCTGGGAAGGGGTATTATCTGAGGTCATCAGCAGCATTCTGAGTGCTAGCTTTGGCCTAATTTGAAGCTAAAGAACTGCAGAAGATTAAGGTGATTAAACAAAAATATAGCCCTCAATCCTCTATGTTTTGCTCCTTCTTAAAATGACCTTTTAAGGTGTTTAGTGTCTGAATTCAGGACACACCATCAGCACATTCAGAGGAAAATAATGATTGCTTTTTTGCGTATGCTCATCTTTGAAGAGTAATGTCTATTATTAGTAAGATTATTAAAACCATCAGCGGCCTGGTCTTGTGGAAAGGGGACTGGGCTAACAGAGCCTGACCATCTGTTTTGAGTTCACACTCTAAGGCTGACTGGAAATTGAAGGAGAAATCACATGAAGGAATTAAGTTGCAGACGATACAATCACAGGTTTTTGTGCTTGTGTTTTAGGGTCTGTAGTACATCTACATTGTAAAAGACACTATGTGAAGTGGGACTATAAATGTGAATGGAATATATATATTCCATTCACACACACACACACACACACACACACACACATATA